ATAATAAAAAAAACAGGAATACCCGAAGTGAGGCATAAGTGGGCCCTATTAAAGAGGAGTGTGTGTGTGTGGGAGGGAATTTGGGGATTTTAGCATTAGCAGACCATTTACATGCACACAAACCTATATAACACTCTACAGGAAAGCGTAATGGGGCCCCTTAAAGAACATAAACCACAAGCATAACCTCAAATAAAATATTCGATCTATTCAAACTTGGCTGACACAGGGTCCCAAGATTACTGACCCTTATCAGTTCCAGTTTCTAACTAAATATAGCTCAGCACTCGATTAGGAGAGTGAACAGAAAGCAGAGAGGCTGATCCAAATGAGATAAACATTAATACTCAGTTTCATTGTTGATTGATTGTTGCTCTGTTGATTGAGACATTTCTAATGCAAACGTCCGTGTTCCAAAGCTATAATCTCCCTGAGGCTAAAATCATAATTCAGTATGACAGTTATTTATAACTGAGTTCAGGAATAATTACTCTGTTAAAAGCCGAAAACATGGCTTTTAGGTTCATGTGCCAGAGGGAAGACGGCTAGCTCCAGATTTGTATTACACACACACACACACACACACACACACACACACACACACACACACACACACACACACACACACACACACACACACACACACACACACACCACACACACACACACACACACACACACAGAGAGTAGAGAACCAAGTTTAACAAAATAGCTACTTCATTAATTCTTTAATCAGATTTAATGGAATCTCAAACAGAGTCAAGCGAGGTCGTAAGGATGTTTTCAATCAGTTTGTGTGCGCGTACTCTTTATATTACTTCAGTGTAGAGTTATTAAAAAAACTAAATAATGGAGGTCAAGGGAAGTCATTTAACCTTTAAGTAGTTTATGTACATCATTCAACTGTTTAGATGCAGAGAGGGCCTTGGAAAGTGAATGGGGAAGACTCTCATTCTTTTAATCACCAGCCATACATTCACTACTTGTTTTTTTTAAACATATATTAGCATAAGAAGTGTATCGCCCTTCTTGGGGGTATTTGAGGAAAAAGATATGCCAACAAAGCGAAACCTTTGAGAAGCAGGAGCTCTGGGACTCATGCTTTGTTTTCCTGCAGTTTACCGGAGCGTGTACGGTAGTGTGAATGATTGATGAAGTTTGAGAACTCCCTAGTTTCCTGCATGTTTAGAAACGCTAAAGAATTGGTGAAAATAGTAACAGTACAGAGACTGCTGCTGGGGGGATGGCTTGAGTCTGCTTACACCAGATTTCTTCGGCCGCAGTTTGAACTCAACCTCCCCGGTGACTCTCTCTCCAGCCTGCAGAGCACCTTCTGTTTACAGACAGTTTTTCATAATTAGGGATGGGACAACATGGCATGTTCTTACAGATCGCAATTAAAACACCCACAAAAGTTCACCTTGTGGAATTTCCATTATCGGGATACCTGTGCATTTTTCTCAACAGCAACAGAAAAGGCTATCTAGCTTGTTATATGGATTAGCAAGTAAAAAAATAGAGCCGTCAATACGAAAAATGTATGTCTCGGGATAAGAAATACACAATTTTGCATTTAAAAAAGAAAATCACTTATCGTTTATTAATGCATGGTGAACTTAAGGTAATGTGTTATTACCTTATTTAAGATTCTTCTTTCCAAAAAAGGGAAGTGAGTGATATCTGTGATGCAATACAAATATAATTGTCTTAAATCTAGGATAAAGTGACACCAGTTGAGTTGTAAGCATATTTTTATAGGTTAAGCAATAATAATTAGTCTTCTGTGAGCAGCGTCCTGCTCTCCAGTATTTACACAGGATGCAGCCTAAGCTGTGTATTTGAAGTGTTCTGACACCACGGGCTGTGTGATGGTACAGCAGAGGCAGTAAACCACTCTTGGCAGCCCGAGATGTTCTTACATCACCCCTACCATTCCACGTTGGCATACTCTGACAACAAAGGTGTTATATTACCTGTGTGGGCAACTCAAGGACATGCCCACACTTCAGAGCTGCCCACTAGAATAACATCATAAAATCACACACTCTATGTTTAACATTGATCTTCAGTTCAACCCCTTAACTTTTAACTCTCTGAACCCAAAGCATTTCAAGGGCGTTTTTGGCTCTTGTTATATTTTATTTACTTTGGTCATCTTTTCATTGCAATATTTGAAATGCATATATGAGTCCTGCACCTGATGAGAGATGAGGAATGTTTGTGCAGTTTTGAGAAGTTATAATGCCAGTAATCAACACTTATTATGTTTTGTTGATCATTTATTTAAAACATTTCAAATGTTTACAACTTCTATACTGACAACCCCCCTTTTCCTACTGATCTGGGATTTTTCTTTTTGTCATTTGACTGTAGTTTTGGTATTTTCTTAACCATGGTGTTCAGCGTTTGAATAAACACCCTACTATTTGTTCTGCAAATGAAAGGTTAAGGTCATAAAGAATAAATGCATCTTTGTTCTTAAATTCAATGCTAGTTACTATTTATCTTATTCTGCTACAGCCTTACTGCTCCTGATTGGCTTATTTTGACTAACGTTAGCCAATATTGCTAAACATTGGGATAGATGATGCTGCAGTAACTGACATTACTGAGTTGATCTTACTTCTTAAAAACAAATCTCCAGGTTCACTTGGAAATATATAAAGAGAGACTCTGCGTCTATAATCAGGAAATAAAAAAGGCATGACAGTCTTTCTTTTCTGACATCATTACCAAAAATAAAAACAACTCACGTGCCCTGTTTGCTACCGTCAACAGAATAACAAACCCCCCAGTGTCGATAGCCTCAGAATTTCTATCCACCAGGGCCTGCAATGATTTTGCCTCCTTCTTCACTGACAAAATCATGCAAATTAGACAGGCAGTCAGTGCCTCTGTATCAGGTACAGCCAATGTACTGTCCCTATGTTCACCTAAAGCCAATTCAGACACCATGTCACAACTCCGTCTGATAAATGCTAAAGACCTGGAAGACATTATCCAACATCTGAAATCCTCCTCCTGTAGCCTCAACATCATCCCGACAGGATTTTTCAAAACTGTTTTTCATTGCTTGGCCTCAGATATACTACACATAGTAAACAAGTCTCTTCAATCAGGTGTATTTCCACAGGCCCTGAAAACTGCAATAATTAAACCGCTCCTAAAAAAGCATAACCTAGACGAAACCATAATGAATAATTAAAGGCCAATATCAAACCTTCCCTTTTTAAGTAAATTGATTGAGAAAAGCAGTTTTTCAACAGTTGAGTAATTTCATGTTTTTAACTGGCGGTTTTGATGTGTTTCAGTCGGGCTTTCGACCTAACCACAGCACTGAGACTTAACTTGTTAAGGTCTTAAATGACATCCATTTAAACACAGACAGTGGCAGAATATCAGTGTTAGTATTATTAGATCTCAGCGCTGCCTTTGATACTGTTGACCACAACATATTGCTAGACCGTCTTGAAAACTGGGTGGGAGTTTCAGCAACAGCTCTAAACTGGTTTAGCTCCTACTTGAAGGACAGAACAAACTTTGTCTCAATAGGCAATTACAAATCAACCCTGATAAATATGTCATGCGGGGTTCCTCAAGGCTCCATCTTAGGACCTTTGCTTTTTAATATTTATATGCTACCTCTGGCTGAAATTATTCAAAAGAGCGATCTAAGCTATCACATCTATGCAGACGACACCCAGATTTATTTTAAAATTATACCGGGAGACTACTCTCCGATTAGAACACAGAGCAAGTGCATTGAGCACATCACTGACTGGATGACTCAGAACTTTCTCCAACTGAACAAGCAAAAAACTGAGATCATTGTTTTTGGAGCAAAGAAGGACCGATTAAAAGTAATCACAGAGCTTCAGTCGGCAGACTATAAAGTAACTCACAAAGCAAGAAATCTGGGTGTAGTGATGGACTCAGACCTGAATTTTAACAGTCACATTACAACAGTCATTAGGTCTGCATACTACCACCTGAAGAATATATCAAGGATTAAAAAACTAATGTCGCAACAGGATTTAGAAAAGCTTTTCCATGCTTTTATTTTCAGTAGACTCGACTACTGCAATAGTGTATTCACAGGGCTCACTAAAAAAATCTATCAGAAAGCTGCTGCTGATTCAGAACGCTACTGCTCGAGTACTCACTGACACTAGAAAAGTGGATCACATCACTCCGGTTCTGAGATCATTACACTGGCTTCCAGTCTGCCAAAGAATTGATTTTAAAATACTACTGCTAGTTTTTAAATCACTAAATGGCTTAGGACCGAAGTATATAGACGACCTACTCCATCACTATGAAGCATCCAGGAGTCTCAGGTCTTCTGGGTCGGGTCTGCTCTCTGTTCCGAGAATAACCACTAAACATGGAAAAGCAGCTTTTAGTTATTATGTCCCAACAATTTGGAACAAACTGCCTAAATCGTGCACGTCCGCCGAAACACTTCCTATTTTTAAATCCCAACTAAAAACGCACCTATTTGCCGCTGCTTTTAATTGAGCTGCCCATACTCACACTACAGTATGCCTTTTTAGTCATGTATTCTGTACCAGCTGTGTTTATTTATTTATTTTATTTTCATTATCTTATGCCTGTTTTTAAATGCCTTTTTAATAATGTATTTATGCTGTATTTGTTCTTAAATGTCTTTTGCTTTTAATGTGTAAAGCACTTTGAATCGCCACGTGCTGAAAAGTGCTATATAAATAAAATTGCCTTGCCTTGCCTTGCCTTACTTCAGTTGCTGTTACACTTTTATTTAACCATTTACTTATATTCCAAAGTTATCCCTTAAGTCATATAGTCTCACTTGCAGTCAATTTGAGGTGAAGTTTATATAATAAGGGAAAAGTTTCCTTTATAGTAAATAGTTATTGGAGTCCTTTACCATACCAGGGCTTTGACTATTTGACTACCTGCTCTGAAGCTTTGTATAATCATCTAACTATAACGCCTTTTTGTTTTTTGTTTCTCCTCTCCAGATGTTCGTTGCAGACAAGGTGGAAGATACAAGCTGCAGCCTCCATGAGTTCAATATAACTGGATCTACATATGCCCCTGAGGGACAAATGTGAGTGTCACAGCTTCAACAAGTATTACTTCATGTAATAGTCTGTCAACCTCATTATGTGACAAATATGTGTTTACTTTTCAAATGTTACCAAAGCCAATTTACACTACTAAACTCAGAAGGTCATCTCCCCTCATCCTTTTTATGAAAGCCTGATGCTTTTTCAAAACAAGATACAAATCTTACTCCACAGATCACATTTCAGTTTGTCAAAATATGTAACATCAGTGCTAATGATTACCAACAAATGTGTTTAGCTTTGCTTTATTTGTTGCTATGGCAATTTCAGCAGTGACCAGGGATACAGTAAGTAATCCTAGATGTATTATGGTTTCATATAACCAAAGGGAACAATAATAACAATGACAGTCACTTTAAATGTTTTAGAGAGTGTCAGATTTTCAATGATGTGTTATATCAGAATGCATATGATAATAATACTTTTGAAATAATAGAAGAAGTGGAGTGTTACAGGTAGGTAGCTGGTTATTATGTAGGAGAAGGGTTCCACAGGTCATTGTATATGCATGTTGTTTATTTCGCTGTTTGCTCGAGTACAGCATTGTGACTCTGCATGAACCTGTCGATTTCATAACAGCACAGTGTGGGTTACTGTGTGGGAGCCTCGCTAGCAACAGTTGCAGTCTTTACTGGGAAGAGATCCATGGTCGTCATGCAATCAGCACTGCTTGTCCACACACACACACACACACACACACACACACACACACACACACACACACACACACACACACACACACACACACACACACACACAGAGAGTTTACTACTGTACAACCACGAAGGCAACTTTGGAATGCTAAACAACTTGCCGTCTTCCTAAATATTGATTAGGGTATTGTGTCTGATGTGTAGCGAAGTGTGAAGTGTTTCTCCCCTGTGTTTTGCTGTTGTGAGTGACGTTTCTGTGTGTTTGTTTTCGTTTTTCCTCCCAGACTGAAAGGAGACAAGCCCGTCCAGTGCGGAGACTTTGATGGACTTTTGGAGTTGGCCACAGTGTGCTCAATGTGCAATGACTCTTCACTGGACTACAATGAGGTAATTGACATAAAACACACATGGATAATTGTAGCACATTTTTAAGCCATTGTGCATCCCTTTGGAAAAAAAGTTCCCTGATGTACTTGGAGGAGAAAGTGTATGTGGCAAAAAACTCCCAAATAAATATTATATAATAGTATTATTTTTCAAATGTGCTGAGTAAAATCTTTAAACCAACAGTAGTCCTGATCATAACTGTCAAAGTTGATCAATTTACGGAATTTTAACCCTTTAATGTAGATGGCCGAATGTCTTCATGATGCCACTGTTGGTTTTTATAAGAGAAACACTGTTCCATTATACAACAGCATTGCTCCAAGTGGAAACCAGTGTAATACAGTGAATTCGCACCAAAGATCCAATATTCTGGATGAAAATAGTAAAAACTATGATTTTAAAGCAAGGAAATGTTGTTTTAAATTACAAGTAAAACTCTAACACAGAAAAGACCTGTCTATGCTGCCCCAGAACGCCTCGTTGGAGATTTCTCATTTTCTTCCTGGGTACAGTGACGTACCCATACCCAAATGGACCCAATGGTCCAAATGGACCAATCCGTGGAGCCATTACGTTACGTCCGCGGAGCCGTTACGTTAAGTCCGTGAGACGGCGGGATGCGGCGAGGCTGTGTCGGTGTGTGAGCACACACACAAACTCCCAGCCAGGCTGCGGGTGTGTGTGTGTGTGTTCGGGCTGGTTTCGGGCTGGGTTTTGCTGTGTCTCGCTGTCTCGCAGACGGCCACTGGGCTCATAGGGAGGGGGGGGGGCAGGAGCTCCAACAAGCCGTTTAGGACAGAGAGTGAATACACATACTATACAGGGATGCTGTATGAGAAACCAATGTGAGTTTGGAAAATTGCACAATATACATCTATTTTAGTATACCTCAACAATGGAATTATGATCAGTAGAAATGGCCATGACATGGGACCTTTAAGGGTGTAATTGATTGTATTTTGGCGATTCGCTTTATTATATACTTATTATAGGAGGTAAAGTTGGATTTTAAAGATAAATAAATGAATCTCCTTGCCAAAATTAATAAAATAAGCATTAACCAGCCCAATGATTTAAAAAAAAAAGTCAAAAAGTCCTTTGTTATGCTTAGGGGGTTTTCCCTTTCTTTTGTTGTTGTAGGTTTTTGTGCATGTAGATAGTCTACAAAGCTGTTTCTCTTTATTTTTAGCATTTTTTTCTCTGCTTTTGAAGTGCTTTTTTCACCTCCTAGTTATCACCATGGTATCATGGTAATTATGCTGAGGAGTGATAAGGCTCTTCTCAACTTCCATGCATTCTCCCACACTCGTTGTTTCTGTTCTGTAGGGGTCATTTTGTCACCAATGTTGTACTATTTTGAATAAAGGAAGTTAGTGGGAGATCAAAACTTGTTGTGAGTGGTTTATTGCCGCATCTCAGAAACAAACTATGAGTGATCCTGGTTCATCTCACCTACATTTTAAAACACTTTGCATGTAGGACTTAACATGTGTGGAGGCAGAAGTAAACAACCTATCAATCCTAAATGCTTACTGTATAACTTGGCTTCTATAAAACAGTTGGCATGTTTTTCTCCTGCAGGCCAAAGGGGTGTATGAGAAGGTGGGTGAGGCCACAGAGACGGCTCTCATCACCCTGGTGGAGAAGATGAACGTCTTCAAGACTGACCTGTCCGGAGTCAGCAAGGTGGAACGTGCCGGTATCTGCAACTCGGTGAGCTACATGTGTTTGTCTGTGTCAAAAAGGACTATCCACCGACTTACACCATCACAGTCTGTATTTAGGTTTTGGGGATTACTGCTGCATGAGAAAAAGTTGTATTAAGGCTGCACAAAATCTGATCAATTGCCTCATTTGATTGAGTCAGATACAGAAGTCCTGAGAGGCGAGTGAGAAGAAAAATAATTCTGGTTATATATGTTCTAAGTCTAATAGTTTTTTTCCCCCTATGTTTGTGGCTTAAATTGACAGGTGACAAATAGATTGTCACCAGAAAAGTTCTTTAAAGTTCCTTTTTTGCGTAACAGGTAAGGGGAGAAAAGTTGTTTTTGTCCTGATCATATTTCTAAGTTCCTTTTTTGTTCAGCTGTATTATGCGTCAGTCCTAGTTAGAACGTGTGGTAAAGGCGCACTTCACAACAAACACATAATTTCCCCCTGATTTTCACAGATGGAATTCAAAGAAACTTGCTAAATTATTTTGGCAAAACCCTTTTCGTTTAAGGCCATATTAGCCACTACTAGCATGACACAACCAAATATTTCCCCCTTCCACTGTGTTTAAGTTGCATTGTGGGTAATGTAGGTGCCAGGTTTTAAAAATAAATATTTAAAAAAACAATTTCTCTGTCTGTACAGCATCAATTTTGAAGCATCCATTGTGATTTTGTCCATTTTATATCAGTGTAATGCTAATCTGTGCCATACTTCTATTCTCCAATCAATTGCTCATTATAACGTACAGTATGCTGCCTTGACGCGGGATGACATAATGACCTAGTATGCCCCTGGTTATTCATATTTGTGGTAGATTATTTTACATTTTAGTTTTTTTTTATGCCGAGTGACTTGCAATGAGTCAACAGGTTTAGAGTTTGCAGCCTAACTCCAGGGCTATTTAACAAAGCACATGGTTGTTGATGGACATATGTTTGACTTCAGGGTGTGTTTGGTTATGAGTTAAATATTTAAAATGTAATTTACAACAAGCTGTAGAGACAGCATGCAGCTTCTCACACATAAAGTGCATGAGCCCTGCTAAAGAGACACAGACGTAAGAGGTGAGTCTGACCTGTGCAAGAGAGCATGTTTTGGTGTCTGAGAGACCCATGCATCACTGAGGGATCTGTCAACAAATGTGTGAAGGTCACCTCTGGTTTCAAGAATGTTCACTCCTACATTAAGGTCGTTGAATCCAGTTGTAGTCACTTTCAGGAGGAACAAAGCTTGTCAGTGACAAACCATACAAGTCAGAAGGGCAGAGAAGCAGAAGTATGATTGAATATATAGGTCTAACAATGACATGCATCTTTTAGCACATGCAATTCAGAGGAGATGACCTTCCAAATCTCTGCTGCGCGTACACAGCTAGAATAGACGGTTGAAAGTCATTTCAGAATCCAGATGGTCTCCCTGTTTGATGAAGAGGAAAGGTTTGTCACATTTCAGGACATCCGTCAGAAGTCCCCTGACAGTGTTTGTACATCTCAGTCTGACTGGACAGCTCCACAGGGTTAATGGGATCAGCTCAGACTCTGAACAAGAGGGACACCTACTGGTAGAAACAAAAACAGGACATTAAGTGCAGATAATGTGCAGGGAAGGGGGATGTTTTTAGGCATGTGATCCTCAAGTGAACCTACAGTATGTTCAAGGCTCGTTGGTTGCTAGAAAGCCTTGAAAACACTTGAGTTTTAGTGTGGTGTTTGTTTACAAGGTTTGAAGAGTAGGTTTTGAAGAAAGCGCTTGAAAATGCTTGGAATTGCAATACTTTTATAAAGAATCAATTTCTGCCAAATAGCTCCTATTTGTTGATATTGTCACAAATAAAAAGATTGCAGTGTTGTTGAACTGGACTAAATTATATTTATCGTGCTAGTTTTTTTTCCTCCATATTTATAAATGAGGAAGGAAGAATAGTAGGAGCACCATATGATAATGCAGTCCATTACAGCACCACTACCAACTATGACCTCATCGCTTAACAATTGATTTAATGAACACTTCCATGACATTTAAAAAAAAAAATAATAGGAATTTGGGGAATCAGGAAAGTAAGCTTTAAAGCAGAACAGTTGTATTGGATTGTATAGATACCAATGAAGTTGCCACTGATGTATGAACTGCATATACATGTAATTAACCACAATGCAAGGTGCTGGAAACGCTAGAATTTGACTTTGAAAAATATGTATCAACCCTGTATTTTGGTATTTCTTCCCATTAGCATTTAGCTCTAATTGTACATAAACCTCCAGTAGTTATTCCTAACCATCCTCAGCCAGGTCTACATTATCATCATGTGCTGTTGTACACAGACATCTGAGGCGGCAGGCAGACATCCAGACAAGGTGGTTGAGTGCTTTGTCTGAAGAGTCATCCATCAGCTGTCAGCAGCCTGCTCACTGGCCTGACAGCTGCCCACAGATTCAGCTGCTTAGCTCCGGCTCTGGCTCTTTCTTCTTCTTTTCTTCTGTAACATCTCCCTATTCTTCATCCCTCAGGTGATCAAGCAGTTGATGAAGAAGGAGTTCACTCTGGAGTTCTCTCGTGACCGCAAGTCCATGTCCGTCTACTGCACCCCCGTCAAGCCAGGGTCCCAGAGCAAGATGTTCATCAAGGCATGAACAAATAATATAACCAATAAACAGAGAGACTTTCATCCTTTGTATTTATTGCTTTCAGGGCTTGATGTTGTTCTCTCTCCTCCCCTCAGGGGGCTCCAGAGAGTGTGATAGAGCGCTGTCAGTACCTGAGGGTGGGGACAGGGAAGGTCCCGCTGACCGACGCCTTGAGGGACCAGCTGCTGTCTAAGATCAGGGACTGGGGGACGGGCAGGGACACACTGCGCTGCCTGGCCCTGGCCACTCGTGACGTCCCGCCACGCAAAGAGGACATGGACCTGGAGAATTCAAACAAGTTTGCAGGTTATGAGGTACAGCGGAGGGGCGTGGTGACATCTGATGCTTATCTTAGGAATCCAAGTTGGTCAAATAGGCTCATTTGGTGACACACCACAGGCAAAAACATGCACTGGTCAGTTTCAGAGTTGAGAGTTGCTTCTTCCTTAAGACTTGTGAAATCAAAACATCCAAAATACACATTTAGGTGTTCATTTAACTACACTATGCATTTGTAGATTTGTCCTAAATTCACCTAAGTGAGCATTTGATAAGGCCTCATCTGCATGTTTCAACAATACCTTTTAGAACACCGGTTATTAAAAAAGGTATTGTACTTAGTAATGAACTGTGGAAGTGTTATCATATCTTTGAGTGTTTTACACCATTTGCCTGTTGTGTCTTTTCCTACTGTATAGTCATACCAAAAATTCCAACTTACATTCACCAAATGTCCCTGTTTAATTAATATATATATTCTAAATGTCTATTCAGAGGGGTTTGTTCATCTATTATCCATAGCATATTAAACATAACTTTTTATTCTTTAAAAACATGTAGAAAATGGAATGTAATAATAAACATTTCAGAAACATTGTCATGCATAATATAAATGTCTAAATATAATTGATCAACCGTGGAAGTATCATGGTGAGATGTTTTAGTTGACCCTATTCACAGATATTGTCCTCTTTGCTGCTGTCTGTTTTTCGGTTGAGAGCAGTGATACAATCTTCTTTCCACTGAAAGCATAACCCTTCTACTCTTGGTTCTTATTCCCTGAAACAATTTTTTGTTGCATTGAAACTAATCAGTTTGATGTTTTCAGCAGCAATACAACAAATACAAATAATGTGAAATCCATTTCTGAGGATTCGAGGTGAGATTCGCTTTTCTGATAAAGTCCTGTTCCACCTAATCTTCCTCTCTTTTCTTTTTTTTCTTCTATTCAGTTGGGCCTCACATTTGTTGGCTGTGTGGGCATGCTGGACCCGCCCAGGAAGGAGGTGATCGGTTCAGTGAAGCTGTGCAACGAGGCAGGCATCCGCGTTATTATGATCACGGGAGACAACAAGGGCACAGCTGTGGCTATCTGCAGACGAGTTGGCATCTTCGGCGAGGATGACGACGTGACCGGAATGGCCTACACGGGGCGCGAGTTCGATGACCTCACGCTGGAGGAACAGAGAGAAGCCGTCAAACGGGGGCGATGCTTCGCCCGCGTGGAGCCAGCTCACAAGTCTAAGATCGTGGGATTCCTGCAGTCATTCAATGAGATTACTGCCATGGTGAGGGAAGGGGGGATGCCCTTGGGAATTTATAGTGTGCATCTATACTTTTTACCCTACACCCAACCCTTAAACTATACCATTTCTTTACTTCCTGCTAATGAAATCATTATACATTTCATAAGTTTCTTATTAATGGAAGAACTAAGAGATCAGAAAGAAAAAATAAGCTCCTGCGTTAATGAGGGAGGAACAATTTTAACAAGATCATTTTTCAGATTTTTTTGGATACTGTAATAATGGGGGTACACATATTGATATGATTGAAATACAGTTTTAGCCAAGTAAAAGACATGATAGTAATGCTACATAACGTAACACACTGTATTTCTAGAGTGTAAGAAGAAAATATAAATGCTTTTAGTCCTATTTGGAACATGGGGCAGTTGCACACTACAGCCTCTTGTGGCCACAAGTAAGAACAAAAACCAAAACAAGGGAACATGACTATCAAGAACAACCTTTTTTTTCTTTCCTGTTCTTAAGTCGTCACCACAGAGGAAAATATTAAGAACAGACTTAGAAAATGTATCACCAGGTATTTTTTTTCCATCTTGCCTCTCAGGGCTTCCGTACTTTACGCCTGTTGCAAGGCAGAAAAACAAAGCATTTCCCACCTTCCTCTGGTTGTTGCGTTGTCTGAACGACTTGTGGAGAATGCATGAGAAGAGGCCAGTGAGGCGTGACATGTCTCAGGTCTCTCTGAGGCTGCTCTCTCAAACACTGCTATCAGAAGCTGTCATCTCTGGCCCGCTCCGCTGCGTCCTATCTGACACATGTCTCAGAAGAGGGGTGATCGGAGGGGAAGATGGGAGGGAGGGAGACAACAATATCACCATTTGCCTGTCAGACTAACTCTACCATTCACAGCGGTCTAAAGCAGCTTTAGGCCCTGTCGTGACAGATTAATATATCTCACTTGCTCAGCTCTTGATTAATCTTGTCTGGATCTATCTGACACGATAATGAGACGTTGTGTGATAACATAGTTGTTAGCTTTCATCGCCGTTAGTCTCTGTTAAAAGTGTTATCGCCCCTGAAAATGTGGGAATGAAAAACAAGTTGAGGTTAGAAGAAGAATTGGGAGGGATGAAACCCTCTTTAATGGTCACATGCAGAGCACACAGCACACAGCACACACAGTGAAATTTGGCCTCTGCATTTAACCCATCCTAGTACCAGGAGTCTAGTACTAGGAGCAGTGGGCAGCTATTGTACAGCGCCCGGGGAGCAATGGGAGTGAGGGGGGAAGGGGGGTGTCCGGTGCCTTGCTCAAGGGCACCACGGCAGGGCAGGAGGTGAACTGGGACCTCTCCAAGTAGAAGTCCACACTCCATATTTAGGTCTGGTCGGGGACTTGAACCAGCGACCCTACGGCTCCCAGTCCAAGCCCCTACTGACTGAGCCACTGCCGGAATAGTTAGGTTAGAATAGTAAAAAAAAAAATATATGTTCCCTCAAAAAAGACCCTTAAAAGAAATGTATTCAAAGGTTTTCTCCAGATAAGGTCCATTTGTTATACAAGACTACTTTCTAAGAAGTTGCATTTTTGGGCCATTTTGGGTTGAAATACTATTCAGAGAAGAAAAGAAAGTAGAACTTCAGAGATTAAAGTCGTGCCTTTTCGAGAATTTCTTTTTAGATACTCTCTGAAATTATGTAATCATACATTTGCAAGATAAACATTTGAAATTCTCTGAGTCTAAAGTCACAAATCTTGTTATTTTGTAATATTGAGGTTTTTGTTTTTACACCATTTCACTTTTGCATTGGTGAATCAGTCTTATATAATCTCCGGAAAATCTGATTCCATTTCCAAATAAAGTTGCCGTCTGAGAGGAAGTAATTCATTTTAAAATCATTGGTCTTTTCTGCTAATGTTTTGGGATTATTGACAGAATCAGGAATCGAATACAAGTCAGGTTTTCTGAGGATTGATCTTTTGTGGTCCCAGACAGGAGATGGTGTGAACGACGCCCCCGCCCTGAAGAAAGCAGAGATCGGCATCGCCATGGGCTCCGGCACAGCGGTGGCCAAGTCAGCGTCTGAGATGGTGCTCTCTGATGATAACTTTTCCACCATCGTGGCTGCCGTAGAGGAGGGCAGAGCCATCTACAACAACATGAAGCAGTTCATCAGATACCTCATCTCCTCCAACGTGGGGGAAGTGGTCTGGTGAGGAAGAGGAGCACGCTGAGATATTATCTTCACGTTGAGTCTGACGTCATCAGCTGATGTTGGTTTCTCCTCACTCTCTCTCCAGCATCTTCCTGACAGCCATCCTGGGGCTCCCTGAGGCTCTGATCCCAGTGCAGCTGCTCTGGGTGAACCTGGTGACCGACGGCCTGCCAGCCACCGCCCTGGGCTTCAACCCCCCAGACCTGGACATCATGGACAAACCCCCCCGCAACCCAAAGGAGCCCCTCATCTCTGGCTGGCTCTTCTTCAGATATTTGGCCATTGGAGGTATGTTTAGCTCTGCTGTGATTTGATGTGTGATTATGCATTTTCTCACTATAGATAATGAATTGACATAAAATGCATGTATGAAAGTAAAACTAGAATTGCAACTGGCGAGCATAGACCTCTGCAAATGCCAATACTGCATTTACATGATCAACAGGTGTTCCCATTTCCTGTGTTGGGATTAAGATTTCGGTGTGTGATTAGCTTAAAGTTATTACTTGGAAGCAATGAAACAACACGGATGATACTAAGAACATGTGTTGTATTGAATTGATCAGAAAGCATAACATAAAATGTTAATATCTGTTTCTGAGTTGGGGAATTTTCCAATCTGTAGAAAGGATTTCTGAAGATTCCCCACACAACATAAATGCCACACAAATGCTATAGCAGTGTTCATGAGACTGATAATGGAATGCGTTCACCTTGGACCATGCTTCACACCTCCATCCTTTTAAATACAACTCAGGCTAGTTGTTTTTCGTGGAATCCCACTTACAGACAGACCTACTAAACATAACTTCTTGTCAGAGGTAAATGTTGTGTGCGGCACACCTTTGCATTTCCAAAAAAATTCTATTTAGCACAGCCTTAGCGTCGATGGACATCTGTCAACCTTCTACAATGACACATGGACTCCGTAAAAGCAGCAGCTACTAGCATAATAATGCTAACTGCAACTACACAAAGTTAGCTCTTGCAGCTAACAGACAGCCAAGGTTAAAAGCACACAACCCAGAAAAACCCATTTTCTTCCTGGGAATAAACTACATCTATCTAGTAATTTTAGATTTACATGTAATTTTGTTTCTGACTGTGTCTCCTGTAGGATATGTGGGTCTTGGAACAGTAGGCGCTGCCACATGGTGGTACCTGTATGATGAGGGCGGCCCACAAGTGTCCTTCTATCAGCTGGTGAGTAGCAAAACACTCTGTCTAAATGTATTAGCACCGGCGCAGTCCAGTCCTCAGAATATAGATTTGTATCTATTATGACATACAGCCCTTCAAACTTAATTTACATAACCCCCACTGTTGGAGACGGTAATGATTGGGCCTGCTCCCAGTGTTAACCAAAATAGAAATGGAAGTAAGACCCATGTGGTTTGGTACACGCAGAGTGGGAACAAGGCCAAGGTTCTGCAGCTGTTAACCCATCAGATCTCAGCTCCATCAAACCAGGTCGCAGGGTTCCTGCTGCGGACACACACACACATGCACACAGACACACTCACTCCTCTGTCTGTCTCTCTACAGAGACACTTCATGCAGTGCACTGAGGATAACCCCATGTTCAAGGGAATCGACTGTGATGTGTTTGAATCCCGCTACCCCACAACCATGGCCCTGTCTGTGCTGGTTACCATCGAGATGTTCAACTCACTCAACAGGTCGGTCATCTTTCGTTATGATGTGGAGGGTAAACAATCCTTAAATGTCAACGCTGTCAGATTTCAATTAAAAAGAAGACTCACTGTTGTCGTCCAGCTGACAGAATTATATCTTGCGTACATTAGATGAGAGTTGGCATACCCCTCAGTTTGGTAAAAGAGATAGGAATACTAGCAGGGTATTAAATAAATATATTTCTTTAGAGGCACAGGCAGCAGTAAAATGTATTATGCTACATTAAAAAAGCCTGCAATTTTTTCCATCTGTTCTTTTCAAGGCCACCAAACTCCTTTGACAGAAACACAACATTTACCTTGCAAAAAAAACCTGAAGTTCCCTGTCTATTGCTGCTACAGTTCATTTGTTCATGTTATTGTGTGACTTTGGGGAATCTTAACTAACCCTTTGAAACACCAAAGTCATAAAAACACATAAACAAACTAACTGATGATAAATAACTTGTTTTCTAAATTGAGGCTGGTACTTTTGTAGATAGCACAGATAGTTGCTTCGCTTGAGGAAAGTCAAGGTTAAAATAGTTTAACATGGCTAAAACACATTTTGCAGCTGCAGTATTTCATTGCTTCGGTTCTGTTCTCATGACTTCAAATGTAAGGACTTTTATAAAACTCCTTAACAAATCTGCATTTAGTGATTGTGGTAATGGAATTAAGCTTAGCCACACATATTTAAAAAATTGAATAATGCTTTTTTGGGGAGGCAGAAAATAAAAGGCACAGTGGTATGAAGGGGAAAATTAAGCTTTTTTGCCAGGATTGCTCATGGAGCAAGTCTGTCAGTAACTCCTTATAGAAATACATAGTAATGTCTTATTCAGGAAAGAATCTGAGAAAGGGAAGGTTGAAATTAAGGGCTGCATGACATTGAAAATGTTATCCCAAAATATGACATTTAGTAAAATAGACAGAGGGAAAACATGTTTACATGGATACTATCGCCCATTCTGAGACCTTAAAGGTAGGGTAGGTAAGTTTGAGAAACCGGCTCGAGATACACTTTTTGTTATATTCCATGGAATGCTCTTAGCATCCCGATAGCAATGAATATCTTAAGTGCTTTGACAAAAAATCCATAAAAAAGTCATCTGTGGAAGCCGTAATACTGTAAAAAGCAAGAGCAATTATTTTAGCCGGCCCGGCTAAAGTAACTGTATGGCCTACCTGCCTGTCAGCCTTCCATCTGTGCACAAACTTATCTCGTGCCCTCATTGGTCGTGTGTGTTGGAGGAGGGGCTCTATAAGGAAGTGGCAGATTTTCTCCGGTTGTGTATTTTCAAATTCTAGCGATCTCGAGCCGGTTTCTCAAACTTACCTACCCCACCTTTAATGATTGCTTGTTACTTTAATTCTAATCTGGTTAAAGACTTGTATCAACTTTTAACATCATAGAATAGCATCAATGTCAGGACCTGATAAATTGTCAACATAATCTATTTACATTTATCTCCGCCAGTTTGTCTGAGAACCAGTCCCTGATCAGGATGCCTCCCTGGGTCAATTTCTGGCTGCTGGGAGCCATCGTCCTCTCCCTCTCCCTCCACTTCCTAATCCTCTACGTCGAGCCTCTGCCGGTAAGAATTCAACCACATGACTCTGTCAGTGAGTCTACCTTGGATCTATGGGGTGTTGAATGATGACATTTTTAAATAGGCCGATTTTACATGATAGTGTTGTTTGAATGGCAAAATATACATTGAGAGAAAATTACAGTGGCCCTGAAAATGTTACCGCCCTGCAACTTGAGAAACACATATAAAGTACAGAAGACACAACTAAATACAGACTATTTAGATCTAGGAAACAGTAGGAAAGAAAATGACACCAGCCTTTTTTTGCTTGCCATTTTAATGTATTTTGCCGCTACTTAGGGCCTCCGTAGGAACGCAACCTAATACAGAAAAAAAAAAAACGCTACTGTATACAGGAAAACTGCAAGTCATGCAAAACTGCAAACGTTCCCATGGGTCACTAAATAAGGCAGGGCATGTTCTTCGCATTTAAGTCTCCCCAGGGAACGTGTTGTTTTGCAGCAGAAAAGTCTTCATTACAGTGTCGGCTGTGCTCAGCATCCACTGTATCTTACTGTTAAGACTCTCTGACTTTCTAATCCCTCTGTCCTGCAGTTGATCTTCCAGGTGACCCCTCTGCACTGGTCCCAGTGGATCGTGGTCCTGAAGATTTCCATCCCAGTCATCCTCCTGGATGAGGCACTGAAATATGTCGCCAGGAACTATCTAGAAGGTTTGTTGAGCCTGTTGGTCCCATATGTCCACCCATACAAATGCATGGGAGCCTGTCTCAGGACACCTCCACTCTCAGGACAGGAAGTGCATGCACGCTAAGAATTACAAAATAAAATCGCCACTATCAGTACAGCGCCACTTTCCGAACAGGAAATGCACGCAAATACAAAATAAAATCGTACTGACACTTATTATATACATATGTATATATGTATATATATAAAAATAGGGACACCTTGTATTGTTTACTCTCAGTACAGCACCACTTTCCGAACAGGAAATGCACGCTAATACAAAATAAAATCGCACTGACACTTATATATATAGATATATATATTCATATATATAAATAACGACATCTTGTAGTTTAGTTACACCCGCTAGACAACAGTGGAGGGTTCGAGAAACAACCGTGTTTGCCGGGTGCACCGTGGCGGAGGTGGGGAGGTTCCAGCCAGGAACCTCCACCCCGCTGCGGGACCCGTGAAAAATAGGGGGAAAAGTGAAAAAAAGTGTCCGAAAATAGGCACGCGTGAAGCGGGCAGAGTCCCCTGTCAACTCCCGTTACATTCCTCCATGGCGTCATTTGAGCGAAAAATGGCTAAGTCAACTTTTACGAGAAGCAGGCTGGGGGGGTCAAAAGGGCTTGACCAAGGCCGAACCAAAGTGCATGGTGAGCGGACTCATCACCTCCGTGATGAGTCTCCATTGTGATGTGAAAACTTCCATCAGACGAGTCCTCCGGGGGGCGGGGAAAAAAACGTGTTCGTCAGAATCGTCACTTCCTGTACTGAGAGTGGAGGTGTCCTGACAGTGGAGCCTACACCGGAACTGTCCTGAGAGTGGAGGCCTGCAGGCAGACCCCTCTCTACAAATGTGGTGTGAGTGTGAAAAATGTAGAGGTGAAGTTTCTTAAATCAATGAATGTTGAAAATCGGATTTGACTGACTCTTCTGCTCTCTTTTTCTCTCCTGCATTTCTACTTCAGCCTAAACTCTTTTTGTCTCACCTTCTTTGAAAAGGTACTCAACCTCTTCATGCTTTCTTCCCTCCAGTGAAAAAAGCTATAGACAGATCGCACTAGTTATTATGAACTCTAAATGTTTTATCTTTTTTTTTTATCCCGGCAGGTGATGAGGAAAGGAAATACCGGAGGAGATGGAAGCGGGACTAAGTCCTCTCCCTCTACACACTCACACACTAAAACACACGCCTCCCCTCTTCCCTTTACGAGCTAGAAACCTTTTCTCTCCCCTGTCCTCGTTCCCCCAATCCTGCATGTCCAACAAACACCACTAGAAATGAGGTGTGTGTGTGTGTGTGTGTGTGTGTGTGTGGTGTGTGTGTGGTGTGTGTGTGTTGTGTGTGTGTGTGTGTGTGTGTGTTGTGTGTGTGTGTGTGTGTGTGTGTGTGTGTGTGTGTGTGTGTGTGTGTGTGTGTGTGTGTGTGTGTGGTGTGTGTGTGTGTGTGTGTGGTGTGTGTGTGTGTGTGTGTGTGTGGGTGTGTGTGTGTGTGTGTGTGTGTGTGTGTGTGTGTGTGTGTGTGTGGTGTGTGTGTGTGTGTGTGTGTGTGTGTGTGTGTGTGTGTGTGTGTGTGTGTGTGTGTGTGTGTGTGTGTGTGTGTGTGTGGGTGTGTGTGTGTGGTGTGTGTGTGGTGTGTGTGTGTGAGTTGTGTGTGTGTGTGTGTGTGTGTGTGTGTGTGTGTGTGTGGTGGTGATGTGTGTGTGTGTGTGTGTGTGTGTGTGTGTGTGTGTGATGTGTGTGGTGTTGTGGTGTGTGTGTGTGTGGTGTGGTGTGGTGTGTGTGTGTGTGTGTGTGTGTGTGTGTGTGTGTGTGTGTGTGTGTGTGTGTGTCCTAACTAGTCGGCTCTGCTTTTTAAAGATGTCTGCTCATTGTTTTCTTGACTATACATACAGTGGTGCAGTAACTGGACTTTGGGGAGGGGAGGACAGGGGAACGGATAATAATACTAGGTGGGAGGGGGGTCGGGGGAGGGAAATTTGAAAATAGCACAGAGACGGAAAGAGAGACTGAGAGGCCTGCCATCATGGAGAAGAAACATCACGAGAATAAACAAGAACGTAGGAGGTGAAAACAGCGGGATACGAGACGGCCATTGTTCCAGTGTGTGTCCACTAAACAATTATCTGGAGGTACCGCCACACACACATGCACACTACTGGCCGAGAGTTCCAGGGGCGCGGCCTTATCAGCACAACAACATCGTATCTCTGGCCAGTTTGTCACAGCGCTGCTCCACCATCGCTCTTCGTCCGAAGTCTTACTGATCGTGCTTTTATGCAGATGTACTCTCTGTCTCTCTTTCTCGCGCTCTGTGGAGGAGGCAGCTGTGGGCTCGGGATCGTGACCTCATCGGGCTCTTTGAGTTGGGGTGGGGAGATTTCGCTCCACCTAAAGGTGTGAATAGCTTTACGCCGCTTGGCCGCTTCCTTCGCCTCTTAAATCGAGGAGCTGAGGTCAGCTCACAGACTTGGTAAACGTGTATAAAATACAAATAAATAAAAATGTCTGTGGCACGCCTGTGTTTATAATGCATTGTAAATGGCTAATGATTAGCTAATAGCACTGTATAATTATTGTCATAAGCAATCATAGACATACATTTCTACAATCCTTTATAACACAAAGTATTTCATGACTAAAGTATCGTAATATTTCTGATTAACTGAATTATTTTGCAAGCCCATGTCTATAATGTATTAAAGACATGCATATACTGCATTGTATTTTCATACTGCACCTACTGTATGATTATAATGCATTATAACTATGGGAATTATACTACACTATGATCCTTGCAAAAAAATATCAGCGACTGACTTGCAATTATGAAGTGTTATGAACCCTCAACCTAAAAATAATAAAAGAATATACTTTTTAATGTGTTATGATTATTGTTATAAAGCTTTATGAGTGTTTAAGTCTAATTAAACAGTGCTATTAGCAGATTATAACTCCTATAAGTGTGTTTATAATGCGTAAAAGACATGGGTGTCATAGTAAGCGTTACCAAAATGTCAAATAACAACCAAATAGTAGAGTAGCTGGTCCTGTTACGCCTCAATCTAATGTCCATCTGCTGTGCTGAGTTTTAGCTGTCAAATGTCTAAATTTAAAGGCAGATCCGAACAGGACGATGAACTTCATGACATGTTGTACATAATGATGGTCTTAGAGCATCCTGTTGTTCATCTACCCTTTAATGTATTCAGTTGTATCTAACCCTGCACCAGCGCTAAAGTGTGTGTGCTTATAGCCTTACTTGAGTTAATTTGTCTGATTTGATTTGATAGGCTTCTCGCGCACAGATGATGTAGTTAGATTAAGTTAAGGAATGGCAAGTAAACTGCTTGATTGTGTCACTTGGTTATGAATCATTAAGCACATGTATCATCCATGCCTTATACAGCCCACTGCACCTCCACTTTGTGGTCTGAATGAATGTGTTTCTGCTAGCCTTTAATTAGCACCCACCGTCACCACTGGCACTCGCGTTGCCCTGACAGGGATACTCGGGGTCTCAGAGACTCTGAATGTCCACCTGATCTGCGGCATGTTTAATAGGATGCCCTTTTTTTGTGTGTGCTTTGTGTGCTGCTCCTCCTGCTCTCTCAGTGCTTTAGCGACTCACTTTGGTATTGTTTTATAATGACTAAATAGTAATGTATTTGACTGAATGAACCCGCGGGGTTTGGATTGTGTCTTTAAGTCTTAATTATGGGTTTATGTGTTGGGCCATGGTGCTCTGCGGACTGGGTCAGTGGTGGTTGTGGTCTCTTTTGCTTCCATAGAGGAGAGTATGCACTTACAAAAAAAAAACGCCTCATCAAAAACAATTTAATTTAATTTAATAAAGCTACATATGAATATAGCGTTTGTCAAAGAACATGTTTTATTTCTTGCTTCCATACCTGATTTTCTACAATTTGACATGAAGCATGGTTTAGAATCCAAAGGAAAATCCATCCTTAAACACTTCCAAAATTAGTGACTATTGCTAACAGGACTGTATGTAGTTCTATTCATCTATTTTGTTGCCTGGTGATGTTTTTCCTACTCCAGAGGATAACAAGCCAAACCAAGATGGTATGTCTTCATCGAGTCCAATTTCCAATTCCACATGCTCTCTGTGGTCATTCTTGGAAATTCACAGAAGGACATCACTCACTTAAAGGATACCTTTTGATTTGTTGAGGTTGATTGAGAAACATTCAAATTCAGAGTATGACCTCCTGAAAATGGCGGTGGAGATGCCCCAGATTTGGAGAAAAGTGCTTAGCAAAGTAATGTACTGATGTTGAAGGTGGCAGCAGCAAAATGTATGTTAGATATCTAAAAAATCTATCGGTTTAAGTGAACGTTACTTTTAGTATCTTCACTGCTTTACCTTGCTGTCACACATGGCTTTCCGATGGGTAACTAAAGGCGCTATTTATGCTCTCTACAAAGCCACCAAAGTCCATTGACAAAAACAATAATTCAACCTTGCTGAGCACGGGAGTTGCTGGTCTATCGCTGCCTTGATCGTTAGTTCGTTTTGTGTTATTGTGCGACTTTGGCTAATCTTAATCAACCCTTTAGAACACCAAAGATGCACAATAACACAAACAAACTAAAGATTTATGCAGCAGTAGGCCAGAAACTTCCATGTTCTGTGCGGTAAAATTACTGTTTTTGTCAATGGAGTCTGATGGCTTTAAAGAGAGCTAATGACTTATAATAATAGTCCCCCTAGGAAAGGGCTGTCTCACGGCAAGTTAAAGTGATGAAAATAATACAACTTACACTTTGACTGATATTTTAGGTTGCTAAGACATGTTTTGCTTCTTCCTTTGTCTGCTGCAGTACATTGCTTAGCGTTGGTGCCACTTCTCCTGTCTCTTCCAACAAACTGTGGCTAATTTTCTGCCATCTACTAAAGAAAATACACTGATCCACATCCAAAAATCCCAAATATCCTTTTAGGTTGAAATTGATTAAGCACATAGAGAAAATACACACATTATCAGACAAAAAAGGCTTTGAACATCGAGCACAATGAGAGAAACTTTAAGGGTGGACTGTTCCTTCCAAATTTTCCAGTAAATAATAGCTTTATTTTGATTCAGATTTATGTAAAACAGCCGCTTTTGTTTCACCACCATAACATTGGGCCACTCTGTAGACCCCCTGTCCCAGCTCTCCACAGCTCTGTAACATTCTGGCACTCTGGCCACCAGGCACTATAGGTCTGTATCCTTGTTATTTACTACTGAATCCTCAACTCTGTACAGAATATGAGAAAATGATCGCATGGAACATTGTTACTGTAATAATAACCTATACAGTATATAATATTTAATTTTTTGATAACTTGCGTCAGTGAAACCAACTCACAACAACACACAGAATTGCGAGAATCCATTTTGAATTTTTCTTTGAGCACATGGTATCTAAGGATCTCCTTTGTTTGTTTTGGTTTTGTAGATTAGAGCTTTTTTTCTTCATTCTTCCCATTTTGGTTTTTACAGTTGCTGGGGTGTTGTGTCTTTTACTGTAGGGAGAAGAATATGACGTTATGTTTAAGATAAGACAAGAATCATGCTTTTCGCTAATAATGACGATGACGCTGATCATTCAGTGGGGGTTATCCGGTGTGAGAATGTTCAAGGGTTTGTGAATGAACTGTGTCTGGTTCACGCTGAGCGATAAGCAGTGATGAATCCTGGGTTATGAAGTTTAATGACTGTACATTGAAGGGCTTGGTGTGGATGCAGGCTCTAGAGACCCCGGGCAACTCCTAGCACGGTACTCAAAGTCCATCTGTAAAAGAATAATGCCCTTTACTATCAGTGAAGTCGTGATCATGTTGATACCATCTGAGCGACCGTTCCCTTTTCTGTCTGCATAGAAATGTTAACAGTCTCTAGAGCCCCAGTTCCACCTCTTGACTTATTAAAAGGATTCTCTGTATTGCCTTGTTAATATTAATTTTGGACACATAATTTTATAAATGACAAAGACGTGAAAATAAAGATAATTTATCTTGTTATTTATTCCGAGGTTGTGTTTCTTTTTGTATGTACTGGGGGTATGAAATGTGTTATAACAAAATACTGAGGGCCTGAGAATCAAATGAGAAGAGAAAATGTTGTGATCCAATTTCCAAGACTGATCTTACTGCTTATCACTTAAGAACCTACTAAAAAAAAAAAGGGTTTGCCAGGATAACCAAGTTTCGAATCTTACCCATGAGAAAAGAAACATTATTTTTAGTCCAATTTAGAACATGGTACACTTTACCTAGAAGGATTATCATGGCAAAAAGTAATGATATCAGATCTGTTTCACTCAGGCTTTCAAACAAAAGATATCCCAGATAAATGTTGACAGTGGTTTAATGGATTGACCTGATTTAAAAAAAAAAAAAAATGTTTTGGGTTTTTCAATGTAAAATACATTTAGAGGTTTCCGAGTCTATCAAAATTTAGGTTTTTTGTTTCTCCTTAATTTTAAAGCAATGTTGGAAACAAAAGGACTAGTTTTGGGATACAGCAAATACATGCTCCAGATATGTTTTTTTTTTACAACTATCAATTCAAATATTTAGCACAATCCAAGTGATTAGGTGTTAGATCAGGAAAACAAGCTGAAGTTAAAGAACAAGTTAGACAAAGTATCTGTATGCCGTCCTAATAATTTGGTTGCCATCTGCAACTGAAACGCTAGATGCCACTAAATCCCACAGTCAGTCTGTTTACTGCTCTTTATCAAGCCTTTCTTTCTACATCAGACCATCATAAAAGAACACGTTAAAATACACAGAGCACCATGAATGTAAAACAGCATAACTTTAGGTTTGCAAATCCAAAGTAGTCAGACATTGGAAACTCATGCATAATACAATAAATAACGAAAAAAGCAGCTAAAAGAAACAAACTCTATTAAAATAGCTTCAGGAACATACTTGTTTTCTAAAGCCACATATTTTGTATTCTAGACATTGCACAGTGTGATTCTTTTGATGTTGAGCCCAATTCAAACACTGTAGTATCATGTCATTAGAGCACTGAGCGTGTTGAACCAGCAGGGGGCGGTGTTACACCACCTAGCCTGTAAATATAAAGCGGTGAGTCATGGCAGGATGTTTTATTGGTACCCATCATTCCAAGGGAAAAACGACGTAGTTTAGTGAAGCCGAACCCAACAAGTCACTGCTGTTTTTGTCTGAAGGGGAGACACCACAGGTAAGGATGGTAAAACAATTTAACTAAAATATATCATCATGGAACTTCCCAAGGTAATACTTAAAAATAAATAGTTGTATGTACTACGCATATTCTGAAATGCTATCTTTAAATGTGTTTATAATGCATTATCTAAATCAATATATGCCAATTTGCATTTATTTAAACAATGAGATCTGGATGAAACCAGTTTCAAAACTCGTGTTTTATTATAGTGTCATTTAGAGTCAACGGATTTAACAGTGTTTTGGCCTTTTATATCACTCTATACTATAATACACGAATTGTGTATTTTGGATGATTGCTTCCCATTAGCATGAAAAATGCATGAAAAACAATGTTTAGCCTGTAGCATCGTGCCATAAGCATACAATGTGAACCCAGGCTGATGAGTCACACTTAAACAGAATGAAACATGAAACAGAACCATCACCAGCCTTCAGATTTTGAAAGACTCTGCAGAAACACACTCACTTGCACCTACACCTGCCTGTCTCACTCTCACTACCAATTACCACACAGCCAGAAGTACTTTGTCATGCTCCATCAGATCTCACATGTGAAGATGACACACACACTCTCCAGGGGGAATTCCTGGAGTTAAGGTGGGATCCCAAGAGGCTGCAAGGGAAATGGAAGCAGGATCTCAGTATCAGCCCCTTATTTCCACCCTGAGCCTCAGAGGGATACATGATGGGGAAATACAGTAGGGGATCTGTCCCAGTGAAACACACACACACACACACACACACACACACACACACACACAGCGGCTGAGATAACACAAAGATGAGAAGAGAACTGAAAAGGTCACACAAGGAGACAAAGGTTTTGGAGTGGAATCGGGTCTTCTCTATTTTTTCCCGTTAAAGGGGCGCAAAGCTTTCTCTGAGCCAATCATATCAGGACGAGGGTGATAAAAGACTGAAATTAATCAATGAGTCTTGTTTGAAAAAAAGCCTTTAAGCCTTGGACTTTGTGAAGGTGAAATAACAAGCCACAGGAGACCCACACATATTTCTTTGTTTTCTTCTGCAATAGTCTGCTTTTATTGATTTTTAATTGTTGACCTTTCTGAAATACAAAATGAAAAAAAACAAAGACGAACCCTTTATTGTATAATCCCAGGTTGAATGTGACACTGCTCCCCTGGTCATATGCAAAAGAGCACCAGATCTCTTTGAGAAGCATGACACACAGACTTTATAGATTTGTAGCTCTTTTTATTTATTTGTTGTGGTTATGCATTTTGTTGTGGTTTTGTGTCTCTTGGCAGTCTGTATGTGTCTCTCTGTTGTGGTTGTATGTCCCTTTGTGGTCATGTTATGTCTCTTTGCAGTTGTTTTGTGTGTCTTTGTGGGCCTTATGTGTCTCCTTGCAGTGGTTTCCCCCCCATTTGTAACCCTTTTATGTCTCTGTAGTTTTGTTTTAAGTCTCTTATGATCTAAAGGTGTCTCTGTCAAACCAGCATAAAGGTCAAACACAAGCGTCAGAGCTTTGATGATGATCTGGTCATGCTCTACAGACATCACGATTCAGCCACATTTGCCATGCACATACAAGGCTGTGTATCGGCTGAGTTTCACGATGACTCATCTGAGAACAAGCAGAGGCAGCACGCTGTGCAGCGGGCTCTGTGGACACACATCTGTAAAGTGCCCAGAGACAGAATTGGCTGGAAAATACTTTACATTTGGAGGGTGATTGGACTGTGAGGGAGGACATGCTGCCCCTGATCCCAGGGTGTGAGCCAGTGCTGTGCTGTGAGGCTAAAGCTGTTGCCAATAAACTAAATGAACTTGAAATGAACTTCCCCCTCGGCCGACACAGGGGAGGGAGAGGACCCACTTCCCCACCACTGCATGTTTGGTCAATTTCTAAGTCCAATAAACTGTGCAGTGTGTACAGTGACTGGAGGTTAAAAGCATGACATGTAATTCACTCAAGTGCTACATTTATGTGTAAAAAAGTGCTTTACATTACATTTCAGAGGGAATTATTGTACTTTTTCAACTGCACAACATTATGCTTTTATCTAGATTCAACTACCCACCAGAAGTTGGAGGTGAGACGCTTAGTCAATTAATCAATTAGAAAATAATTGTTTACTTTTTTATATCATTTTCAGATATAACAATTGTTCCTTCTCAAATATTCGAATTGTAATTATTTGTAATATTCTTTTCATTTGTGCTTATTTGTTTTTTTCTAACCATCCAAAACAAATCAGATTCAGATTCAGAATTCCTTTATTCGTCCCACAGAGGAAAATATTAGGATGAAAAACAAAAATGACACACTATTTTAAACGGTGTCATTGAGAGTTTTGGGTAATTGTGATGAACGTTTTTCGTTTTTTGTTTTACAAAGGCAAGGCAAGGCAAGGCAAGGCAAGGCAAGGCAAGTTTATTTATATAGCACCTTTCAACACAAGGCAATTCAAAGTGCTTTACAAAAATGGAAGACATGCGAACGACGAACAAACGTACTACAAATTAGTTCCTCGATCAATATATATAAAAGCTATAATATTGCATTTTGTTTTGCGACACATGTTTTTAGATTGAAAATAAATGCAAGATATGTAATGTAATAATTGAAAAAATCGAATTGGCTCCACAACATCCAAATAAACAGTAAAATAATATTTTCTCTTGGATGTGTTTACTGTAGATATTCACACATAATCCTGTAAGAGATACATGATTGGCAGATGGGTTCCATAGGTTTTTTTAAATGGTGCTGCTACAAGAAAATACTATACATTTTCCCTGTTACATCCACTCAATTAACACTATTCAGAAGGAGGATGGTGGTTGGGGGGATTTGAGGAGGATAATGGTTTCTGTGGGATTATGAAAATGATTTAACTCCGAGAGAGTGAATCACGTCGACGCAGGCCTGTTAGGATTGTCAGCATGGGTTAGTCTACTGCTGTACTGACAGTCCATCGACTAAGCTTTCTTGGATAAAAGTGTGGGTGTTTTAATCACATGTCACAATGTTTAAGGGCTGGGGTTTTCATTAAAAAAAAAAAGAAAAGGAAGGAAAACTTCCCGCAGGAAATGAAGGATGTAACTGGTATTGTCACAGTGTGATGGCCACAGTTGGCGCTTTAAGTGCCTGCAACATGTTCTGTGTATAGGCTGCATTGGACTCAGTAATTATGATGTTACCTAGCAGTCCCAATGACCACTCTGCTTATCTCCACTAATTACTCAGGCGTTCATTCAACATTTTCTCAATCGGAAATATGAAAACATGGCCAGCAGAGGCGCTAGCTGCACTTCTGCTGCATAAATCCACTGTTTGTTCAATATAATCTCCAGTGGATGGGCAATGAAAACAACCCATAGTAGGCACCTTTGATAATAAAACGGGTAATCCAATTCCCTATGCATAATGCTGTTTTTAATCAATAAAGAAATATGGTAGTGTAAAATAGTGTGGTGGATGCACGGCATTGGTCATGCTGCGGGAACCTAACGTTCTTATTATACATCCATGGCGGGAACAGGGCGGATCTTAGGACCCGTGGATTCGTTTGTGGTGGAATAATAAAAGTTGGGTTTATCCGACGCGCCTCAAAGCACTCTCAAAGTGTGTGTGAGCTGCCTCCTTCTGCTGTGTGCACATTGCAGAGGTGGTGGTGCAATAATAGCCAGCTGCGGGCGGAGTGTGTGTAAGTGTGTGCATGCCGCCGCTGGGTGTCTTCACTCCGGCTTCACTGTCGACAACACAGGCGGGTCTGTGTGTCCGTGCTTTCCGGAAGAGAGGGTGTGACACATGGGACACATCTCGGGTCAGCAGCTGATCCTGCTTCTCGTTTGCACAGAAAGCAGCATGGAAGCCTCTCTGCGGGTGTGTGTGTATAATCGGCTGTGAGTGGAGAGGATCAAACAGGCGGGACATCCCTGTCTCCGGATCCCTTTCACTGGAACGCGCTCACACACGCCCGAGCTCTCGTTTGGGTGAGTGCAACTTTTACCATCATCTCATTTGAAATGCTCATTTTTTTAGTCATGGCCGACTGTAAATAAGGGGAAGTGAAGCTGCTAGTGCACTGCAGATAGATCTCCATGCACGTGTTTCCTTGCTGTGTGTGTGGTTTTTGTTTGGAATAAATCGCTCACCGGAGGGCACACAAGGATATTGACTACTCTGCAGTTGCACTAGATATGAATCACTTTACGCGCAGCCTCGCACTATGCACCGTGAAATTGGAAGCTGCACTGTGCCTTGATCTGTGTCATGCACCTGTCGTAAAATGCTCAGACTCCTAATCCACACATATTATAGGATATTACCTGCGTTTAACTGCTGTAAGGTCCGGGGTCCCACTAGGGACCTCTCAAGGTGATCCAAATGGTCTCCAATATTGAGTTTTAGGTATGAGTCCAGTGACAGATAGGGATGTGTGCTCTAACCACAGGTTTCAGAACACTAATGGTAATGGAAGACTGTGTGTGTATCTGAGGTGCCTCATATGAAAACTAGTACTGAAACCATTAATTGATTAGACAACAGGCAGGGAATCAATCAACAAAAACACTACGGTTGATTGATATGTCATCAAGTTATTTATAACGAAAAAATTGCAAACATTTCTGGTTCCAGCTTTCGCAAATTTGAAAAGTTGAATTTGTTTACCTTTTCTTCTTTATTATTTCCGATGTTATATTGATTCTCTTTTGGACAGTAAAGTCAACACCATGACCTCTTAAAATAAGTACCCTTAAGCCGTCTTTAAAATAAATCACCATTTGTCAATATTTTCTAACTTTTTGTTGAAAGAATTGTTAAACCATTAGATTTGTATTTGATTCGAATAGGTTTTTTTTTCAGCTCTAAGGAACATGGGTAAAGGGTAAAAGGTGTACAATCATTCCTTTTGATAAGACCTATTTTATTAAATGATGTAACCTCATTGAAAGAGATTTACCAGTAGGCCTACATTGAAATGGATATGGCTCATTGATGCAAAGTAAAAATCATCTTTAAGATACACCTTTTTTTTTTTAAACTATCACGTCTCCACCATTTCTTTCCAAGCATACCTCCTTTCTAAACATTCACACAGTGCTTGAAGATGACAAATGTGGCACTTTATAGTGAATAATTGTCTTAATATAAAAAATAATAGATAGTTTTTCATTTAGATGTCCGGAATAGCCCGGTAAAACAATTATCAGATCGAATTGTGGTTGCTTTAAGTGGGTAGATAACATTGAACTGATTTGTTTGATGTGTTAATGGGCATATAATATCGTCTGATATTAATTGCAGGCTCCTAAATCCAAACGAAATCCATTTTGGCGGACTTTGTGAGAAATAAAGAATCAATATAGTATCGTATTGTTTTGGAACTTGTGCTTTACTGCACTAATCATTCAGTTACTCTGGTTATTTTCTGTTGAATGCAAAAAAAACACAACGAAAACGTGGTTTTAGTTATTTCAAATGACTGGGTGTCTAATTTTAAACGAGCTATGACTTCATGTATGCATCAAGTGGTGCTCACTCTCCTCTGTTCACGAATCGCTTAATCCCTCATTCATGAGACGTGGGGCTGAATAGTTTGCTTTGAATTTACTTGAAGGATGACTTCAAAACGAATTGACTCTCTCCAGCAGTGCTGCAACTTGAAAAACAGCGACTACATGAATGACATGCAACAAATTATTGTAGCGTCTCACCATTTGTTCTCGAGCCCTGACAAATGCAAAGTGTCTGCCCGCAACAAAGAGAAAACCAGTTTCACTTTTGGTGTTCTTACTTGTACAGTATGATGAATTTCACAGGCTGATATTAAGCACCAGGTTTGCTGAAGCGGCTGCATGAATTGTTGCTCTGGTGCATTCATGATATGTTTTGTATGCAACTTTTTGATCGTTATATGCCAGGTTAAAGGGGCTGTGACCCATTACTGGTTGGGCTTGTATCAGGACTGAGAGTGAAATAAAATGCTTTTCAATTATTAGAGGATCATCTTGTACCTGTGCAATTGCTGAATCTTGCTGCAAAATTGTGCTTTGTCCAGTTCTTTAAAAGAAAAAATAGATTCTGTTCCCAGCATTGTGCCAATGGCTGTTCTTTTGAGTATTGATTTTCCTTTGAGGAAAGGAGGCGTATTCTTGTGGAAAAGAACAAGGTTTCTATTGTTGTAGTGTTTCGGGTCATTTCGACTTGCATTTTTTCTAGGGTTTGCTTGGTGTAAATTAGCAACTCACTCCAGTATCACTTCTGCCTATTCTCTGTTTCTGAATGTGCTGACGGCTGTAACACTCCCTCATGTGGGCTTTGGTAATCATCCAGAGCTGCGACCCAGCTACTGAAAAGAGGACATGTCAAACTGCTCCCAGCTCCTTCAGCCCCTCTGGGAAATCTCTTAGTAAGGCGGAAGGAAAGGAAATCATCAAGCATTGTGTGCGTGTAGGTTTATGTATTGTTATTGCAAGTCATTTCTCAATAAATGTCATGAGCAGTTTACACAGGACTGGACACCATTCACCCATAATATGTCGGGTAGACCTAAACTAAGAATCAGAGAATAAACAGGGATTGATTGTGACTGGTCTGTTCTGGTTGGTGAGCACTGCTACACTGATGCTTCTTTTGGAAGGTTTTCATTTTTCAATCGTAATACCAATTGATTGTGATCACTCAATCACTGCAGAGCGACATGCAATCTGCAGGAAGTGAAAAACCCAGGGTCCATTATATTTGTTCAATGTGTAATTGCTTGATGTATCCCCAAAGTGATTATCATCACTCTGCTGCACCTCTGGGTGCTTTGTCTGTGAGTGTGAAGATACTGTATATTTACGAGCACTCAGAATGAATGAAAATTGAAATCATTGCGTGACAGTGACCTAGAGGGGTTTGGCATTTGTCGGGTTGTTGTCTAGATGTATATCCATTATAGATATGAGTGTAGTAAAAACACAGCCTATTATTAAGCTTGAATTATGTATTTTTACCGGGAGCTGAATTAGCCACAGATGTCACCTCCTACAGTATATAAAACAAACTGACACGCTGATCAAAATTGGCAAAAACACTGAATAAAGCAGTTTGGTAATTTAAAAAAGGGTTTCCTCCTTAACGCATGCTCAGCTTCCTTTTTTAAAAGGTCTATCTTTTTTCAGTAAATTAAAATAGATTTTTAAATAGTTATAAACGACCCACATTTATAAAAGTGTCTCATTCAAATTATCTCTGGGTTTGAAAATTGTAGAAAACATTTTGGATAATGTAAGTTCAGAACCCAACAAATTCTATATTGGCTTGTTTTAAGGCATTTTAATGTGTAAAAATGACATATTACATATTTTCAAAACAGAAATGTCAATTTAACTTTCCTTTTTGTTTGTGAATCCAAAAACCTATAATGAGTCATTTCATTAAGAAAAACATTTGCAGGAGAGCGGTAAAATTACTTTTATGGAAAAGTTCCTCTTAGGGAGGCAAGAAAACGTATGAGTGACTGAACTGTGCTTTCCAGACAGGAGATGGAAGATGCTCAGCGTGTGGATCCACAGTGAAGAGCTCTTCAATTGGTCTCTGACAGACTTTCATACTGCAGCTGTGGGGAGAGAGTAGCAGCTGTACCTGCTGTAGTGTTTCTTTTACAAAGCTAATACTGTCAGCAATATATCTGCCAGCTCCTCTGTGGAATCTGCCTTCGTTCCCTGGAAGTTCAGGTGTTTGTGTAATCGTCATGAGTATGCTTTCACTCTGTTTTAGAACAAAGACAACAGTGTAGCAGTGAGGCTTTCCACCTGCGTTGAGATGACTGATAGAAAGCAGGTTAAGTGTATTTTTTAAGCTCTAGAAATGATGGGAATGTCTTCATTTGTTAACGGTTTTTACATTCCACTTTTCAATATTCCAAGGGCAAGGCTGTGATTGGTGAAGGCTTACTGTCATAAGTGTTAGCAGTAGGATTTGTTAATAATTCCCTAAGGAAATAAATCCCATTAATCTGACTGTCCACCACTTTGGTCCAGACTGAAATATCTCGACCATCTCTTTCCTCTGCCTATCAGTCTTGCCAGCTCAGGAGTCCTTGTAACAGCTACTTTGTACTTAGTAAAACCAACTGTACAGCAGGAAATTAGAATAAGCTATTTATTTTATTTCCTGGCCTCAACATCAGAAAACAACACCCTGTTGGAGCAGAGTATGTAAATCGAATCAATAGAACTTAATGTGATGTAGCCCACTACTACTTTTTATCCGTACTGCAGCATTGGCCTTTTTAATTTGCCTCTCTAAAGTCAACCCATCTCTATGTATGTGTAATACTTAAACCTTTTAAAATTCCCATTGAGTTTCTCGCCAGCTCTTTATTGCTTCCTAGCTCTAGCGCAGAATGCACCCCATAAAAGTATATGTACTGTACAAAAATAAATCAAACTTAATGCTAAACTAAGATGGTAAACTTGGTAACCATTATACCTGCTAAACATCAGCATTGTGAGACTGTTTGAGTGTTTATTGGAAATATAATCATTTTAATTGTTAATGATTTTGGTAACCATAGATTGCTGACTGTCCGTGTCTAATCAATAGTCACGTATGATCCATGTTATGTTTAATTTGTATTCACTACACATACGAATTGGCCTTGGCCTGATCCATGTGTTGCTTCTTTGTTTTAGCTGGTTGAAACCAGTTCTGCTTACCATCTATGTTACTTTGTATTATTACCTCAGGACAAATGCTCTCAGCATGTCCTTACAGAAATCACAAGACTGAGCAGTTCTCACCATAAAACATGTATGAACTGTGTGCATGTTGACAAGTCGCTGCCTAAATCCTCTGAGTGTGCTGGGACCCTTTGCAAAGATTCATTATTTATTTCATTAATGAACATAAACATGAAGACATTTTGTGAAATGGCTTTTTTCAGGTTTCCTCCAGACGTGATAATGTTAGCATTTAGCACTGCTGTGCCTAATGCCGCACT